GTTTGAGCTTTATCCAAGCATACTGTTTGACTGGATTTTACAGTTTACTTCTTTTGGGACTGCTCCAGAAGCTAAATGACATGGGCAGTTGCGAGTTTATTGGTTTTTGAGATATATTTTACTTATTATCAGTTGAAGGCCAATGAGGATTAAGAAGTTTCGCGTTCTTTGCAAATTGCACACCTACCTGCTGCATACCGGCTTCCTACCAAAACTGGTAAAAACGCCAGGCAATTGAATACGAGGACGTGCACCATCAGCGTGTAGCTAAATGCGATTTCATATGTGATCATGATGAAATTCCCATTTACTGAGACAAAACACGCCCGTTATTGAGAAGTGCTCTAACATTCAAACGTTCATTCGCATCTGCAGAGAGAGTCTGGCACAGTCTGAGGGATAATTTGTGTTCAATTTAAAATGGTCATCACCATCGACCACCGGAATATAAAAGCGCAGTTAACATCAATCACAAAGGTACCTGCCCAGACACCCACAAACTGTAGACACTTGGTAGTGGTTAATGTTGGTAGAACTACCAATGGCGGATTTCAAGCGAGATGAATCCCTGGTGTTGTGTGCGGTGGATAATGACAGTCATTGCTATGCAAAAACGAATAAGAAGGAATAAGAAATATATGCATAAGGAGAAAAGAGTTTCACTACCAAGGGTGACTGTTGGTGCATATGAAATTCCTGGGCCACCTTTATGCATTCGCACTTCGTTCTCCTACTGAAGGATATTGATGTAAAAGGGTAAGATTGCACAACAAAAGAACTTTCGCCTGCTTGAAAACTGGTTTTTGATCTACTTAAGCCATGCGAAGCAAAATGCTAACAAGAACGTCCTCTCTGGAACACAGGTTTTCCTTTTTCTAAAAATCCAGACTTGTAAGGCTATATGATTTATACACTACAGGCAGTCTCTTGCTTTGACGTACATATGTTGTCCTTGCATATGCAATATTCCTTAAGCAGCCACGAAAAGACCCACCATTATGCGGCCATTGTAGCCTTTCGGCATGGGGTAGGATACTTTTGTGCCGTCCAGTTTCGGTTAGTACGCAAGTTAGGACCAAAGCCGGTAGATCATCAGCAGTTAGAAAAATATTAAGCACCTCCATGGCCATTACATGGAGCACTTAAAACGCAGAACGAAACATAAAAGTGGATAAAGATCGTGAATCTGACTTCAGCACAAACAAAAGAGTGAGCTTTCCCGTCTGCGGCAGAAAAGTTTCAGTATCGGACGGGAAAGAACACAAGCGGGCCGAACGTTCTAACTTTATTCCTGACTTATGCTGCTTAATCTACTCATTTGTTTCCCTGGGCAGATTTTTATACTTCGCGCGCATGATTCGTGCAATATTTATATACTGCCAACTGTCTGTTGGCGGCTCACTAATGTTACGCCGTTTTAGCTGGCCGTGTCTGAGAAGGTATTCTCGAAAAACTTACGTCAAGTCGGCGAATAATTCCGAAGAAATTAAAAGCTGAACTTTCGACAGCTGGAGTATACACCGGAACGTCCACGGGGAACCCTAGGGGGCTCACTAATTAGCGGAGCCTCCCTCAGCTGCGTTATTAAACGACAGAAAGTCTGCAAAACATGCAGTTTGATTTTTATTTATTACCCGTGCTGTCAGTGCAGTGAATCTTTGGATAGGTGGGATCCTTGGTGGGCGAGTATCCTATTGCCAGGGAAACCACGTTCAACAGAAGACAAGAAGGTATTTTTGGACGCCGTTGCAAGGTTTGTATTTTTTACCTCTGAATTGTGCACAAAAGTCAGTTGTCGGTGGCAAGAAAAATAACAGCGAACAGGCAGTGTTTACACCTAGTTTTATCCAAATGTCAGTCAGTGTGTGGGGCTAACTGAAAACGTGGTAGTACGAGGAGATATGTAGGCGGAAGATCGACAGGGGCCCAAGAATCTATGTTTCGTTAACATGTCTATGCCGTGGCTCGGCCAACCAAATTTGTGCTGATAAAGTCGTCGTCGTTGCCTGAGTCCAATGAGAAGGCAGTCACACTAGAATTGCGATCACATCTCCGTGGCGTCAAATTGTGGGCGTGATGCCAATCACAGTTAATGCTGACCTACGTATTTACAGAGACGATTAAGCCATTATATGTGACAAGCAGGAACAAATTCTTCTCCAAAAGTTATTATTGCATCTTTAACCCTCTTTGTTCGACTGCATACGATTGCCACGGACAAACAAGAAACACTGACAGCTATCCTTGTCCCAGTGCGCCTTATTGCCTTGATCTCTGGTTTCAGCTTTCTGTGGACCAATGTATAGGCGTCGGCGTATTAAGGTGTGGAGTAAGAATTTCTCTGGACATAGACAAAACGAAAACTGATTTCTGAAAGAGGTCCCAATAAATTTGAAGTGTTTCAAAGAGACCACTCACAGCCACTCAGGAGAGCTTTTAGCCTATCTGGGAAGTTGTTTTAGATTTTTATCGCCTAGCATACTTACGTATTGTTATCACCATTTGATGTTTGTCTGATGAGCAAGTTGATGAAATGTAAATGACGATTCATAACAGTTTTCCTATTCTTCTGCCGTCGTTTTGCTTAGCAGTTCATTAAGACTTAAAAGTCTGGAAACGTGCCCTGCATCATATCATTCAAGAGGCAATTAAATGGCATAATCGCAATTCCTCGACTTGAGGCTAACTTCAACAAAACTGACTCCAAACTCTTTGACTTCATTGCAGCACTCGAAGTAGTATTCGTGTTTGTCAGTTGTTCAGTCAAAAGCAAACCCAACTGGTGACTAATGGACCCATAAGGATTAGATACAACAAAAGTTTAAAATAAAAGACAAAATTGAGACAGGAGATCAGCCAGGATGCACCTGATAAGAAGAAGACTGAGCCAACGACCATAAGAGAAAGAAAGTTCTCCTCAGTCAGTGAGAGTACGCCAGACCCACGTTCTCATTCTCACCATCATAAGCCGAGTTCACAATCAAAACACGTTTCCAGAAGGCACGACTAAAGTGGGATAGGAAATAATAAAAAGTAGTTACCTTTGATACGCAAATATAAGAAGGCGAAATCAAAACCCGGATACAGAAAAGTAAGTATGCTGTGCACGTTTACGTTCAGCTACCGTATCAATCCACATTTAGGACACTTGGGTCATTGTTCCGGAACATTTTTAAAATATTTAAAATTCCCTTTTTTGCCCTGACAGACGAAAGAAAAACGGGTTTTAACTCCATGAACAAATCTCCCTGTGCAGGATATGACGTCATCTTTGTAGACGCAGAAATAATCTGACGGGTCGACGGCAAGTCGAGCTGAGAGATTACCGGAGGTTAGAAGATCCGACGCGATCCCGCAAGACTACCGTTTCGATCTCCTGCCTTCAGCGTCCTCATTTTCGCAATACTCATGCAGTCCCTTGATTGACCGAAAGTGACTGCGCAGACAGCTCAGCTGCAGCTACTTTTTTGTCTCTGAGCCGGAAAGCTCAGACAAGTAACCTAATCTTTGCGATCGGAACTTCGCACTCGCCTTCCGCAGAAGACATGGAATATGCCGTACAGACAAATTGGTGGTGGTTGGGGTTACCGCAGCAGACAACATGGCGGAAACTAAATTTGATAGTTATACTACGGATGTCGGCAGCCGGATTTGCCCGGTGCGCCACGCGAGTGCGACGACGAGAAACCGCGGTGACGATGTCTACCCTTTTGCAGCTACGGTCAGGTGACCTTTGCTAGGCAATAAAATAGCGCGGCCAAGAACGACCTTAAATACTGCGGAGGCTACTTTGACATGAACTCCGATGATGGAAGCCTGCTCGCCCTCGAGGAAGGCCAGTGACTGTAAGTGTTGAGATCACTTTCCGCAGAAATAAAAAAAGCGGACGAAGAATGAACCGACGAAGACGAGCGATAAACCTGTGGCCATGACTTTCTTTGAGTTGGCGGGTTTGTATTATGTTGATAATCGTGTGCCTTCCATCCTGGTATGCCACTACATTCTAAAACCTTTGGGGCGTTTTGTATCGAAGGTTACATATAAGAACATATTTAGAGGCACATGATACCCGCAAACCTCGATTTTAGGATCGGGAATGTTGCCAATTATGGGGTCAAATGCCAACGAAAGTTAGAGGTTTAAGGACTATATGTACCAAAGGCGAAGATGGTTCTTTGTGGGATCCAGGATATCCTTAATGCAGTCTACCTAACGACAATCACAATAGCAGTTAGACGATGTTTGTTACACGCCTCACATCAGGCTAGAAGCAAGCGCGATGATCTGCGTGCGTGGATAAGTTCATAGGGATAGTACACTTCCGTTGTGTCTCCCGCGTCCCAGATTCCTCTCCCACTTAAACCTGGTATCATGGCAAAATCAAGAATACAGGGGGTAGGAGAAAAAGCAGGCGGCTGGAACAGAAAAAATCCGCACCTAAGCGTACTGGCACGCTCCCTGGTCAAAAAGGAACACTTGACTAGGGTCTTAACACAACAGCAACAGGATGGATCCCAGGTTTCACAGCGTGGACATGAATGTCATTACACACCATCACACATCACCTGGTCACAGTCTACACTTGGACAGAATTTTCGCATAGCACGGCGGGTGTGTCACAGATCTAAAGTGTCGCTGGGAGACCATGTGGAGGGGACCTGAAGAACAAATTTCTCACTTAAGTGGGAGGTAACGGCGCTGGATGGAGATGGAGAAGTGCATGCACGAGGCATGTGTGGGTGGGGCGAATGTGTGGTGATGTGGTCAGGCCTGCGATGAATTAACACAGATTTTCGTGAAGACGCACGTGGTCAAATGGGGTCTTGCGATGAGTGAGTGTGCGTGGGCACTGTGGACAGTGGACGCGGACGTGAGGACTGCATGCTAGGGCTCCAGGCACTGGTTCATTAGTCCGTGCACGACGAATTTACAAGTGACCGACCAGACTGATGCGCGAGGTGAATGTGTGGTCGTAATGAGGACATGTTAGGATCGAGCCCCTATGGTTTATGGTGGGACTGGAAGAAGTAATGGTGTTGGTGGTGGTGGTTGGCGCCGTCATGAATGACGTGCGGTTTGCGCGGCGTGGTACCAGTGACCGAGGGCGGCGGGGCATCAGCGGTGTGATCACTGATGGCGGTGAGGATGGTGGTTATGATCTTCGTCGCTGACGCCGTGGGCGTCGAGGCAAGTTTGACGATAAGGTTCTTGGTCTTCGCTCCATACAGAAGTGTCGCCATGATGGCGGTCTCGTAAACCTTCAGTTTAGTGTACAGTTGAAGGCCGTCGCGATTTCCCACGGAGGCTTGCAGCCGGCCCAAGGTCTGGCTGGCTTTGGAGATCCGTTGAGCAACCTCATCGTCGATTCTCGGTTTGTGTGACAACGTGCTTCCTAAATAAGTTAGGTTGTCAATAGTTTTAGACTGGGATGCCGATGACATTGACTCGAGGCGTGCTGTATTCCGTGTTGGGTGACGGTTGGTGCGCTACCACCATCTTGTCCGTGTTGTTTGTTAGTTCGATGTTGATGCAGCCGGTCGTAAAGAGGCCCATACCCCTTTGCAAGTCCGCTTCACTCGCGGTGCTAAGCGCGCAGTCGTCTGCGAGCAGCAGGTCATTGACTGTAGTCGTCTTTCATGCGTTAAGGCTCGCATGCGCCGGCCATTGAAAAGATGTCCAATAATCCTGTTGGCGACATGTATCCCAGGACGCTCATTGTGGCAGACGTCTATCAGAATGACAGAGGAGAGGATACTAGAGCGAGTACGCAGCCCCGCTCCATTCTATTGGCCATTGTGAATGCTTCGGAGACTGTCTCGATGTTAGTAACGCGCGCTGTCATCGAGTCGTGGAGTTGACGTGCTATGTGCCTGAATCGCACAGGACAGCCGAATTTCTGCATGCTTTTCCTCAGTCTATCTAAGGTCGCCGTGTCGAAGGCCTTCTTTATGTTCACTAAGGTATTGTGGGAACGTGCCTACGGCTCCTGATACTTATCTTGTAGGTAGCGGGCGACAAGTTTCATATCGGTAGTACCTCGATGTCTTCTGAAGCCACACTGTCTTTCGGGGGGGGTTCTTGTTTTGGATGACTGTTGGGACAGTCGAAGGGTAGGCGAATGAAGATTTTTCAACAATGTTGAAAAATGAAATACGTCTGTGACTATCGTCGAGTTGTCGGTTCCCTTTTCGCTTGTAGAGAGGAACGATTGCTGCATCATTGAAATGCTGAGGGACCTGTCTTTGGCGCCACATCGCCTGGAAGAGAGCTACGAGGTGATCAGTTAGGTGGCGACAGACGTGCATGCAGATTTCAGCTGGACTAGCATCGGAGCCTGGTGCTTTCCTGCGAGAGAGTTATTACACGGCCCTAATGGTTTCTGGAAGGAAGGAAGGACGTGAGACCCAGATCGATGTTTATTTCCACTTGAGAGAGTCGATCGATGGCAACGCCTGCGACCCTGAATGAAAGATTGAAGACATTTGGAAGTACTTGGTCCAACGCTTCAGAATCTGCGACTTCTCGGTTAGATGGGTTGTTCTGTTGATGCTGAGAAGCAGGGCGGTTGCTTTTGGCTGTTAAACGGTAGAAAGTCCTGATCGCAGGGAAGAAGTTCTTTGATTAATTGCAGTTCGAATACCCTTGGGCCCCCTTGCCCCTGCGGGCCGTCCAGCATTTCTTGTGACCGTCGCTGCAAAAGCCCGCCTCCTTTGCATCAGTCGGGCGGTCAATGTTATGTTCTGTTCGGTGGGCAGGTTGATGATGCCTGCGTTGTTTTCATCAAGCTATTCGTGCGCGTTCGAGGACATCCAGCGTGGTCGCGTGGATGGCGTTCCGCGGTGTTTTCGTCTGAGGCTTGCAGGTCTTCTAGTCGTTTGGCTAGTTGATCGCTGAATTGGGAGGAGTGAGCAGACAAATTAAACAAAACAGTATTTAACTTTCCTGGTGGCCGGCTTACTTGCCGTCTTCTGCAAGGGTCCATTCGGATCTTGATCTTAAAGATGATAAGATGGTAATCCACCCTGCCGTTGGCGTCGCAGATAACACTGGCCACTGGTGTGTCCTATCGATCTCTACTCTGGATGAACAGTTATCAGGGCCGCTATACGGGGGGCATCCGAGTGGCCTTCTTCCGAGTCGTCAGGCAGAAGGTGTTGGTCAGGAAGAGGCGGTGTTCAGCAGAGGTTCGCAGGAGAATGAGGCTGTTGCCGTTGCAGCCGCAGATTTCGTGGAAGCCCAACGCTCCTTCCCAGGCAGCGTAGTCTGCGCTGACGCGGGCATTGAAGTTGCTAAGGTCGATTAGCTTGTGCGCCTTCGGAGCAGTACCCAGCACGTGCAGATTCTCGCGGACTTTCTTTTTCGTTCCGTTGTATTTGATCATAAGGGGTGTGTAGGCGATGGTGATATTGGTGAATTTGACCCATTGAGGAGGCATAGGCAGGCTCATAAGTCGGTCGTTGATGCGCTACAGCAGACAGGTCAGTCGTCTCACAATGTGGTCGCGGATGGCAAAGGTGAAGCAAGCGTCGCGTCGTTCTGCCTTTTGGCGGCCGTTCAGGAAGAAAGTGTAGCCGGCACCCATCTCCTCCATTTGACCTTGATTTGAAAACAGCAATGTCCACCTCGTAGTGCACCAGTTCTCGAGCTACTAGCACTGGCGAAATGTCCAAAAGGAACAAACATTCCAGGCCGCCAGAGCGAGCGGACAAACGCTAGCAGCCCGTGGAACGGGACAGAGGGGAAGGGGATCAGGATGACTGTCGCCCGTTGTAGTTTTTCTACTTCGAGTTCTGCATCTAAGAGCCACAGTATTAAAACAGATGGCGTGACTTCCTAACAGGTGTTTAGGGTGCTTTCTCTAGATCCCTTTCCGCCAAGGGGTGGTCAGTGTTATCCTTAAATAGAGTTGCTCAGAGATCCCAAACGACTGCTGAAACGTACTATGGGTCATGTGTTGGCTTACTGAGAGAACGAACCGATTGGCCTGAACCGCCTGCGCGATTTCATGTTCTACTGCTTTTCGACCTTGAGGGAAGAAAGTAGACAAAGGGTGGGAGGAGGAGGTGGTGAAAGAGTTACCAGATATGAGGACACACCCGGATACCTTCACTTGGTTTAGCCTGCCAATCGAGGCGGTTATCAGGGTGTGACTGCTGGGCAGAGCCTAGCTACGAGGATACTGTTTTGTCGTATGTGCCTGTTCACCATCTCCATTTCAGCAACGAGATGCCTCATCGGCTAGTCAATATTTCAGCCGCTGATGAGGACGGCTCCGTGGAGAACCGATGGTGCAAACTGAGGGACACAGGCCAGTCAAACGCCCTGTATATCCTTGGCCGTGCACATCGTCAGCACCATGACTGATCCGACGACTAAGACGTCGCCATCGACAATCTGCTCGCCGAGAAAAAGCCTACATAAATCGACCTACCGATGCAAAAGCAGCCTCCCCCAGAAATCGTTGCTTTGTAAAACGGCGACTTTGGGAAATGTGGGACGCCCAGATGGTTCGCAAGGCATAAGGAGGTCCAAGGGTAGGCGGGCGGCAAATAATGGGAGAACTTCTTCGCTGCGACCAAGGCTGCCTGCGGTCTCACAGTCAAAAGAACCGGTCCTCTTCGCGGCGCCAACGAAACTACCCTGCTCACTGAAAAGATGCAAATTCTGAAGCTCTGGGCCGACCACATCAGAAATGTCTTCAACCGCCCCTTCCCCACCATCTCCGATACCGTCATCGTCCAACTGCCTCATATGGAGACCAACGCCGACCTCGACCTCCAAGTCTCTCTCCACGAAACTACCAGGGACGTGCAGCAACTCCCTAGCACTAAAGCATCCGGATTAGACGCGATCCCTGTTGAGATTCACAAGCACGGCAACCCCAACTTATTGATCATTTTACAGCGCCCTTCCAGGCGATGTGGCGCCAGGGAAAAGACCCCTCAGGATTTCAAGGACGCTGCAAGAAAAAGTGAAATCGCAGGACAAATGTCACGATATGCGAATCCATCTCCACGCCACCTCCGTAAATCTGACGAAAGCCTTTGACAGGGTAACTCGCGAAGGACTGTGAAAAGTCGCTCAATTTGCAGTGAACAGCGGAGTGAAGTCAAGGCCGCATCCACGCGCCTACCCTCTTCAGTCTCATGTTCTCTGCCATGCCAATGGGCGCCTGTCATGACGAACGCCCCGGGATTCACATCGCCTGCAGGGTACACGGCTAACCCCTCAGTTAACGGCGGATGTAATTGCAATTGCGTGTATTTACAGCTACCGTCCACAAACTTTTCTTCGTTGACGTCTGCACACTCAACGCTACGACCGAAACAGAGACGCGAAGGAACATGGATCTTTTCGCCTCTGGCCGCGCCCACTTCGGGCTGACTATCAACACAGACAAGACGGCGTTCAATCAACGACTACCGAACTCCGAGTACACTGTTTCCTGCATCCACGCCAACGGCACCTAACTGAAGACCGTGGACAATTTCAACTACCTAGGCGGCTCAATGTCATGCTGCACTTGAATCCATGACGAAGTGACACACCGAATCTCGCACGCCCCACGACTATAGGAAGATGTCCGACGTCCCATCATCTGATACGATCATCAATAACACCCCCACCTCCGGCGATGTGGATTCAGTCCCGACCTGTCCTCATTGCGATCGTCCGTTCACCTCACACATCGGCCTGGTCGGTCACTTTCGTATCCATAGCCAAGAAACTGGCGAATCTGTGCCTGGGACACCTACATACACTCGACGCATCCTTATCAACTGCCCTCACTTCCGCCACACACGCAGCCATCTCAAGGGCCTATTAGCTCACATGCGTATTAAAAAAACCTGCGTTAGACAACCGCCGGCTACACCACATCCGTGCACCTTTGCCCACCAACACCTGCACCACACATCAACATCAACCATTGCCTCACAACGCAAGCACTTAATTGACCTCTCACGCAAGTCGGAAGTGTGCTTTTCGGCTCCTTCTCCAGGTGACTCCTCTGCTGCATGTGTGAGCCGAGTCTGAGATCACCACGGTGTGCCAAACGCCATGGTTTGGAAGGTTGCCGACAGACGCCTCAAATCAGTCCCCGCTGTCAGTCCAGTCGTGTTTTTGTGTGGAGTGACGGAATGATGGACTGAGAGTCCGCCTGCAGCGGCTCCAGACCGCGACCTCTCGCACACTAAATCATGTGAGGAGTGTGTGTTTGAATGTGTGTAGTACCTCCTAGTCGATGACTGACTGATTACCCGGTTTTTGAAGGGCGATGGTCTGAGCTAAATGCAGGGCCGCGTCTCAACTTTCTGAGCTTTAAGGATTGTGTACGTCTTCTATGCTACGATTTAGAAAACGATATCTCTCGCAGACTAGTGAAGGCTGACAGTTCTCGGGCACCTGCTTCAATGCTGGTCGATGCATTTGCTTTCCCGCTAGGTATACAGGTCATGCCGGTGTTTTTCCAGTGATTTCTCTCCCCTTCTTTCTGACCCACTTTTATTCTTTGTCAAAATCCCGATAAAGTGCTTGTTGTAGACCAGGGGGTGTGGTGTGGGTTCAGCCGTGTCCGTTTCTTGCGCCCTCTTGCGCCTTCGGCCTTCTTGACGATGTCTTGACACCGATCTTAGGCGGTCGAGAAGGAGAGAGTGCGATAAATGCTGTGCAAGCCGGCTACTACTATAAACTAATTCATGCAGTAGCCACCGTGCCCGCATCAACTTGCCGTGGTACACATGGTGGACATCACCAGCAACGACGGTCGAACTGTTAAGTTTAATTGCTGTTTACAGTAGAGAACTTGACAATGAGAGGCGCAGCCAACAATCGCATCTTGTGAAAATCATTGTAAACAAGAACGAAGCAGGAGGAGTACGTACTAAACGCCTAAGGCAAGAGGACCAATACTAAATAAGTTATCTCCGAGACGCAGTAGCGCACACACTGGCCAGATTTAATATGGAGAAATCATAATATACATTTACAGGATCGTAAAGACCCAAATCATAAACCGCTTATCGAAAGATATTGTTAAAGCACTATAAGGGCCGACTAAAACGCTGGCCATCGTCTATGCAGATCAGCGGCACAACTCGATCTACTATGATAAGAGGAAATTCAATTATAATGATCCAGACTGGTACAATTATTATTGACATGAATAACACAAAGAGGTCGATAATTGTATTTGACGATCAATTGGAGGTAGTGGTGTGATGGTCTGGGGAGCTTCTGGTTTTCGCATGATGCTGGAATCAATATTTCATGGGGAAGGCAAAATGCGCAGACTGCCATTTGAGAACCAATATGGTGGTTGATGGCTGAAGTCTGAAAATGGCAACGGTAACACCCAAACAACGGTTAAAGAGAAACCAAATGAAGACGTGTAACTGGTCGTCACTAGGGCCCGATTTTATTCGAACATACGGACTATGACGACTAATATCCGCTTGTGCAAGTTGCGATCGTCGGGTTTCCTGGTAGAAGGATAGACTGCAGGCGACTACTCCAAAAGCGAAAATGCTCAGAGTTAAGCAGAACCTTAGAGGTTGGCCAGTAAAATGAATAATTGCTGTTTGAGTTCTAGCGCGAAACGGATGTCACATGTTCTTTCAAATCCAGTCGGTGACACTACGATGAAAATGACCTTATTTTGCAGGACAGTCATTTCCAGACCACTAACATTGCTCGATGATACACAAAATCACCATTTTGACAAACGTTTGTTCGCAGTAAACGTTGTCACTGTTTGACCTTTCATGAAAAGAACCCGTATTAATCTATATATGATTTTTTGATCTTATTCAAAATGCCGATGTTCCAATCGTTGTGGGATAAACCTTTTTGAACAACATTTCAACTACGGAATCGAGCGGCGAGGGCCATCAACCTTCTTACGTCCCAACTGTAAGTAACGTTGTGTGGTACAAAATAAATGCATAATAACCAGTCTTATTCAACTGACAATACTTCTTTTTGGGTTATGACAATCAAGAAGGGAGTATTTGTTAACTGGAATTCCTTATGCGGAACACCAATTAAAATTGAACATGGCGAATAGCGGAAAACTAAAGATGACCAATTCTTGGTTGGCGTATAATGGAACTTTATGTGTCCGAATTTCATCAAATATAAGTAACTAAGAAATCCCAAGAAGTTTACGAATATGGTTAAGAAGTAAGAGATTTTACTGTTTCATTAGGCCTGGTTGTAAAAAATATTGGGGCCCGGTGGGATGGGAACCCACGAGAGCAAGCGAAAAGGTTGAGTGCAGCTAACGCTTTAACCACATGAGCTACGAGACCCCAGTGGGATCCGTGATTTCAGTTATATCTGAGTCAAGTTATCCTCCCGACCTATACAAATACACCAAATCTGATACAGTAAGCTGACTGCCCAAGCAGGATTTCCTAAGTAATCAACCCAGAATCC